TAGGCTTTTTTTCGCGAGTGAAGTCGTATGTTGTAGTATGTGTAGTATGAGTGAATATTACGTTTTTGCGAGAATAGTCAGTCATTTAAACTACTATGTGACGTCACAAGTTTAGATCAAATGACTGAACTCTTCACCCTTCAGCTGAATATTCTGTTGGTATATTCAACTAGTATTGTCAGCCGGTAACTTAACCTTTTTCTTTTTGACATTTTGTTTGAATGAGGATAAAAATCGTTCAGCAAAATGATGGATTCTGATACAGCTGTGGAAGTGGTCAGGTTAAATTTAATCTTTTGAGGCACAGATGTTTTAGTAAACGTAGACGTTGAAACAGCAAATATTTTACTTAATGGTAAGATTAATTTTCTGTATGGGATATATTTGCGATCCACTTTGCTTCAGGATTATCCTCTTTTTTTTATGACCTAGGCCAGAGATAATATTGGTAGAATCATTTGTAATTCAGGTCTTTTTCGTATGAATTACATAAAAAACCAACCTAACCTCTTTCTAGTTTAATTTTTTTCTGGAATAGAGAATATATGATATGATTCTCTAAACTTATAACATAAATAAGGAACATCATCATCCTCATTCCACAAAAATATCAAAAAATATAGAGCCATGTCACAATTTCTGTTTTGTAGCCATTGACATAAATGACCAAATTCCATTCTCTTACGATAACGATTATGTCGAATATTCGCATATCTTGCAACATCAGAATCTACATACTTTTCACGCTTTTTAAATTTGCCACTTAAAAATATTCCAAAGAAAGCATTGATATATTCCTTCAGTTTTATTCGAAGCAAATACATTATTATTTAGTGAGATAACACCAATTCCCACAACACAAGCAATAAAGGATAACAAATTATGGTTACTGGTTAGAAGTAGTGATGGGACTACTCGAATGAAAATTATCGATTATATCGATTATGAAAATCTCTCGAGATATCTCGAGTGGTCATATAGAATCATTCGATTATTCGGATACGAATGACAGTGGCCACAGCGTTACTAATACCTGCACTACTCGAGCGAGTGCGCAGATGTTTCGATTGTTCCAACGCTCTAACGAGCTACAACATCTCGAGATAAGACGGCCGAGAGGATAGATGAGACAATCGAATATCACCGCACCGACATACAAGAAAAAAAGGTATGCAGGAATTTTATGAGTGGCATCGCGGGGGTGTTACATGGGAGCTTTATTTAGCGGGGATAAAAATTCATATGAATGAAAATAATACCAAATTATGTTTTCTATAATTTTTTTTTTTTTTTCAAAAAAAAATCCCAAACAATGGACCTCTTTAGGCGGTGACTACTCATTTTAAACACATGCTGCTGAACCACTCAACTGGCAACGAAGAAATATGGAAAAAGCGCCCCAATCCGCGACAGTCATTCATTTACCTAGCGTCAACATGTTTCGCCTATGATTTTTGATAGACCGGAAATTTTCAAAGTGAACTTTCGATTATATATCATTCGAATGATCATTCGATTATAAAATTAATTCGAACGGTAACCTCTCGATTATTTAATTCTTTCGATTATTCCCATCACTAATATATCTACTAAACTCAATATAAAATAAAATTGGTTGTTATTTGCTTACTTCACTCGTATTTATTATGCTACATTCATTTGGGACATATGGAACACTAGCGCCACCCCAACGTCTGCCATTTCTTGGACAAATTTTGTCAATTTTCCCGTATGAGTTTGTGCTCCTTATCTAGTCTCCCTGATCATGATTTAAACGATTATGGCCCTGCAGTAGAACCTAAGAGATACCAATATAGGTTTAAATTTGGATGTTAGCTTAAACCAGGGAGACTAGACAAGGAGCACACACTCATACGCGAAAAATGACAAAATTTGTCCAAGAAATGGCAGAAGTTACTGATACTTTTTACCACCCTAGTGTTCTATGTGTCCCGAAGTGAATGATATAATAAATACTAGTGAAATAAGCAAATAATCAGTTTTATTTTAAAATGAGTAGATACATCGATCTTATAGTACTAAGATCGATGAGTAGATATATCGGGGGGCTTTCGTTTTGACAAAAATAGTACCTATTAGCAATTAAATATCAGTTCAGAGTAACTCTAAGTTGTTATTAGCTACTAATAGCTACTATTTTTGCCAAATAGAAAGACCCTCAGGGAGGCTAGATAATATACTAACCTAAAAACTATATTCTATTTTTAAACTGAGAGAAGCGTTTTGAATACTGCGCGCCAAAATGTTGGTTTCTTATTGGTTAATTTCGAACCCACTTTACACTGCTAATAAATTTTACATTTTGACATTGGGCGTGTTTTTAAACTGCACTATCTGTTCGAGTACAATTATACCGGACATCCCCTTCAGTTGTTCTGAACTGTTATTGGAACAAGGTAATATAAAAACACATATTTTTGTTGTTGATAATCTTAATCTTATCATTTTAAAGATTTAAAGGTTAAATAAAAATATTATATTATGGCATTGGAAATAAATACAAATACTATTATTAC